ACCTGTAAACGATGAGGCACAAAGTCTACAAGAAAAAAAAAGATGTAAAAAAGGGTTGTATATAAGGTATGATCTGTATAACTAGGGTATTTGCCTGATCTTGATCGGATGAGTGATCGGAGGCTGGACCCGGAAAATCTCACCTACATCCTGGATCTGTTGTCATCACAGGGATCTTAACGCTTACGCTGTAATATCTATATAACTTTTTAAAGATTTAATTAAAATCAAAATTAAAAATATAGTAATTCAGCATTAAAGTAGAATTAGAAAAAAAGTAAACTTATAAATAAATTGTCTACTTAACTTTTTTTTTTAATACTTTAAAACAGGTTTAAACTATTGTTTTTTATATTTTTGTATTTTTTTTTATTTTTAACAAAATTTTAAAGATAATTCTTTATTTTAAAAATGCAAAAAAGTTGTAAAACAGTCTAAAAAAGAAAATAACTATAAAATCAGGCTGAATTATATTGGCTATAGACTAAAATTTTTTATAATATATATATCATAGTGGAAGTTCATTTTGATTGGTTGTTAAAATATCTAGAAAAAATATAGATTATTTCTAGATAAAGTATTGGCTATACCCTAGATAAAATTTTATTACTTATGAAACTTTTAAAAAACTAGTCAAATACTTTCTAAAAATATATATTAATCATTAATTTTTGATTTATAATAACTAATTCATATTTCACAATGTTTAAAATATTATTTATTTCACAATAAGTATACTATTTATTTAACAATAAATACTTTAAGTTTTGCAACACAATCTAACTTATATAAACATTTCTAAACCACTACTATATAAAACTTTGTATTTATAAACAGCCTAAATATAATAAAAAAAAAGAGTTTGGAATACTGTATTAGTTCCAAAAATACATAGTATTTTTTATGAATTTGGGTCAAAATGGATTCCCGAAAGAACAAAGTTAGCCGGCACTAGCTATAATGCTGGCCAATTTAGTCGATGTTGTGTTCTTTCAATAATCTGTTGTTCGGGATTTTGACCCAAAATCATTTTTTACTTACAAAAAACAAGAACAAGTTGAGACAAAATCTTTCAACTTTCACTTACTAATTGCTTAGGTCACTAAAACACTTTCTGACTTTTCAAAACCTTCACTTCTCATCTAGTTTTTGAAACTACTGCATCCTACTGCATCCCAAGTTAAAAAACAATAACGATAAAGCCAAAGGTAAAATATCAACGGTTGCTACATCAAGTATTACAAAAAAAAATTTTCATATGGCATGACGATTTTACTTATAAAAGTACTTTAAAAATTACATTGCCTGTATAAAAAAAAAGATCGTCGCCAATCAAAATTACTCTTATTTTAGCCAATCAAAACAACATTAATGCCAGAGAAATACATTCTGAAATTTTATTGCGATTTAAAACTACTCCAGATGTCGGAGTCGGAGTAGTTTAAGTAATCAGAAACTATCTAGAAATCCTTAAAATCTAGTGATTTCTTTTTTTTTATGATCTACAAATTTCACATATCATTATCGTTATGTATATGTTGGAAGTAAAAACGGAATTTAAGTGGATTGGAAATTTTTATATAAAACTCTTATTTTAGGGTTGATTTTATCATACCCTAACCCTAATTTAACTAATCCACTTAAATTCCGCTCCCATTTGCAACATATACAACGGATTCGTATTAGTTTTAAAGCTTTAAAACCGCTCTCTCTCATTAAGTTATATACATGTCCATTATATCCAGATCTAAACTATTGTTTATTTACAAAATATATATATTAAAATCTTTATATAATCTATTTAACATTATAACTTATATATATAATTTATTTATCTAATAATCGAAAATTTCTAAAATAAGTATTCTATAATTTTACAAATGTGCTGTAAGAGAAAAAAAATAATAATAATAATAAAATGAAAAGGTCGAAAATAATGTATTTATCTCTGGATATAACAGATATATATTCAATTTTGTAGTCTTGGATTTTGTTAAACCATAGAAATAATAAGGTTATAAAAGTAATAATGGCTTATAACAAACACCCAATTGTACAATAGAGCCTAAAATTGTCTATGAAAAAGAATAATAATGAATAGGTTCTGACACACGTAAACACACACAAAATTGTTCGTAAACTCTAATAAAAGATTAGATTAATCAATATTTAATAAATTGAATTATTTTAAATCAACTATCTTGAATTCATACGGAACCTTAAACAAAGATAAATCTAAATAGTAAATAAATTCACAAAATCATAACCTAATTGTCTTTCTTTTCATCGTCATATATATCCTCATCATCTCCATCTTCAACTGTTGTACGAAGATCTTTATCTTCTCTACCTTTATATTCTTCTTCTTCTTTCTTTTTAGGCTCCCATCCCCAAAGTGGAATAAAACTTTCAATAGGGCCAACATCCGCAAATAAGTTAGGAAATAGCCATATGCCAGGAGGTACGATTATCATTGTGACAATGAACAGCACAAGTCTGACCACTGCAAGGATCATAAAAACTCCAAAGAGACATAATATAGCTACTGATATGTACCAAACAATATCTCGTAATATAGGCGGCCAAAGAGGAAACAATACTGCCGCAAAAACGATTCCTATTAACCCTAATCCACCCAAATAATTCATCAATTGTGATCCTTCATAAAACCATGCATAATATTGGTCATCGTTCCATTGCTGTACTGACGTTACGGATAAAGGTTTATTACGAGCGCCACTTTCACTTCCAACACGCTCAACACGTAAATAAAAAGCATGAGCCAACACATCACCAAGAACACGAGATGCCTCAGCGTCATTGGTAATTTTTGGAACATTCTTTAATTTTTTATAAGATTCTTTTTGAAGGGCTTTAATAGCAGATTTTCCTATTAAATATCAATGTGTCATATCTTTGGATTATTTATGATGTTTAAAAGATACCTATAGCGGACACTCACTACTCACCTTTAAAATAATCCACTCTCTTTCCGTTTAAAATACCCTGTCGGTTTTTTGATGTAGATCTCAAGTATTTAGCTACGTTGAGAAGTTCCGGTGGTGCCTCAGCTTGTTTTGCTTCCATCTTCTTAACTCACTTTTTAAAATTTTATCCCGCAAGTGATCTCAAGAAGTCGTTCAAAGAGGGATTTAGAATTTTTACACAATATCAACTTTTTATTCTTTTTTCTTAAATATGACCAATTGAATTTGACCACATCCTCTATGATTAGTGACGCCGCAAATATTAATTTTATTGGTGTTCGCATCTATATTACGTAATATCCTGAGCGGGTCATCGTCAGGAATCACCGTCCATTGAAAGACGTAGGTACTGTCCCACAGGCTATACTATGTAAAACTTCTTTTTAAGGTTCTCAATGACTACCCGATAAAAATTTATACATTTTAATTCTACAAACTTGTAGAATTAAAATAAAAAAAATTTTATCGAGCTTGTCTTGGCATTTATTGAAAAATATTCATTTAATTGATAGTTTATAAAAGAAGAATGCTGTTAATAAACTCTTATAGTAATCTTAATAATAATATACAATAAGGGAGCATCCATAATTTACGTTAAACCAGTACTGTATTGTATAACTTAAAGGTGGTATTGTTTTTGTATTATCCCTATAACAATACTGGTTTAACGTAAATTATGGATGCTCTCTAATAATAATTTATACAATATTTTACTAAAACGCATCATAATGTTTTATAGAGGTGAGTCAATAGAAAAAGAGACAAATTTTTTTAAATAAAAGTTTTCTTGACTTTAAGCTTAATTTTTTTTTATTTTAATTTTATATAATTTCAAGATTAAAATTAAAAAGATTTTATTAAAAACAATTTGTTTCTTTTCTATTGACTTCTCTCTATAGTATATATTATATAAATAGTTTATTTCTCTAACAGCTTATAGTATACAATAATTTACAAGATTATATTGATTTGAAGTGGTCTATTCATCACCCTCTTCAAGCAGCAGGTCTAGAGTTTGAATCCCACTGGTGACAATTTTGAAAAATAGGCCTATATATGGTTGACAGTTTTCTATCGGTTAGATCTAGATTAATTTGTAATTTTGGTCACACCATCTAGTAATAGAAACTTTAGCACAATAAATCTAAGGGACCAGAATAACTGAAAACTTATTTGGCAAGTCTTGAGTTTGGAGGTAGCAATGATTTACAATAGTACCACAGGAGGGCTGAATTCAAACTGGTATCCAAGATTAAAAAACTGAGCGATTAGGTACTAATAGCAAAGAACACACCAGTTGAACTACCAGGTTGATACACTAGAGAAAAGGAACATATACTATAAAAGTATAGACCAAAGAGAGGACATCCTTCAGGTATCTAAAGCTTAAGCAGATTGATTCTTTTAGGTTGCCAGCTAGAAGTAAAGGAAAGACTAATAAAGAATCCAAATAAGAAAATAATTTAAATGCAGATACTGAAGTTACTAAAAATCAAAACAAGAGCAAAAAGTACGTAATGAGTATTTAATTAGAAAGATTGGTATTTGAGAAATGTCTGTAGAATAGCAGCATTCCAAAAGATGGTATAAGATATGAACAGATTAATAGGTACTAATTAGGAAGAAGTTATAGAAACATGCAAGTGAATATATATATGAGACATGTACTACTTTGTTAGATTTATTTTAAAGATAAACTAGGTCTATATGGATTAGTAAGTCCTAAGGCAGAGTGTAAAAGCTAATATAAATAGATACCAAAATCTACTTATAGATAGTAAAGAATATCCACAGAATAAAGAGCTAATAGTAGTAGTTGGAACTAGGTAGTTTAAATAGATAATCTTGTAGTTGGATGCAAGTATGGCAAATAGTGTGGAATTCTTAGTATAGTACTAATACTTTGGGCAGACTACTTAAACTAGACACCAAAAGTGCACATGTAGCTTAATATACTATTATTGTAATTATATTATAAAACACTGTCTATACTCTAATAAAAAGTTTCTTATAGCCAATAAGGTTACCTTAATACCAAAAAAAAAAATTATATTGATTTGATTAATAAATTATAATAATATATATATATTTTTTATCAGAACTCTCCCTGACGATTACTCGTACCAAATTTTTATACCAAAAAAAGAGCAAAAATTTTGTTGGAGTAGTAGACACGACTATCAGATGGTTCTTGCAAAGGTCCAACCAGGGTTTTTTCTTGCTCCTGGAGACTCCTTTGACATATTCGGTATACAAACCAGAAGCATTGGAATACAAGATAACTGGCAGGTGGTGCTCTTGTATATAAAATTTTGGTGTCGACGGACTTAAAGAAAAAGTGGTCTTCGCCGACGAAGCAACCAAGAGGCAATAAAAAAAAGAGAAACAACAAATGAGTTCTTTAATACACTCCTTGAAAATTTGAAATACCTGACCTTGAAAACCTCTTTCCATATTCCCGCCGGGTTTTTTGGTGTTTCTCTCAAAATTTTTTCCAAAAAGTGGAAAATTTGGTATACTCCCATTAAAAGATCAACATTTGTTTATACTACCATATCAGGACAAAGTTTGAGAATCACAGGGCTTCATATCTGGCAACCGACTAAAGACACATGACGAGGAAAATGTAAACAAAAAAGTCAACCAGTTGGTTTGTATCGATGAGTAAATAAGAAAAATTTCATATTCCCCACATAACAAGAACTATTTTAATACCGAAGTAAAGCAAAGGTGGTGATTGTTTTGCGGAGTATTAAATAATTTTTAAATGAAACTGGTGTTTTCCCAAGCATTCAGTATATCCGGTACTTCATAGTTTTTTGCTTTTTTCTTTTTACTTTTCTCTTTTTTTTATCATTTTATATTTTCTTTTTTGTACTTGGTTTATATATAGGTTTTGTAGATTTTCCACTTTTTTTTACTATCCCCTTATTAGTTTAGTTTTTTTTAGTATACTTGTCGTTCTTGAGGCAAGAATTATGGAATCCTCTTGCTGGGATATTAAGAAAAGGAGGGTCTTAAGGAAATTAGTGGTCATAATGGGCGGCCGATCCTAGTTGATGATGTACCTATCTATTTCGATTGCAGAAGAAATAGATGCATAGACAAAATCGGCTATAGCAGGTCAAATATAGGTGTCAATTGATAATCGAGTTAGTCAAAACTTATAAGTTAGATGCTAAAGCTAGTGTTTTAGTTTGAATAATCGTATGAGGTGAAGCCAATTGCATTAGAATCTAATAAAGTTTTGGCATGATTGCCGAATTTAAAAAAAAAAAAAAAATATATATATATATATATATTTAATATTAAAATAATCTCAGTAATTTATTATTATAAGTGTTATTTTGGTTATAATGAGAGTATATATAGCTACATATACACTTTTGGTGTCTAATTTAAGTAGTCTGCCCAAAGCGGTAGTGCTATGCTAAGAGTTCTATACTATCTGCTATATCTGCACTCCAACTATATAGAGTACTCATTTAAACTCTCTAATCATATCTTTATTTTTATTGAGTGAGACTCATAACCTGGGTATAATCTTACCACATATACTAAACATGTAGATCTATGTAATACAGTACTACTAAATTAATAACCAGACTTAGAACAGAACCATATATTCTTATTTATTCTCAAGATAAATCTGTCAAAATAGTATATTCTCACAATGTATTTACCTATACTTTAGTAACTTACATCATAGCTTAACCCATATACTTGGGGTCAGGGCTAATCATTAAATTCCTACTATTATCTACTTTTATCCTTTTAAGGTTTACAAATCTCTGTACTATATTTTATCACTTTTCATATCTTACTCCTTTTGATATAATTGTACTTCCAATCCAGAAGGCCTGGAAGGATCAGTCTGCCCAAACCTGAGTTTTCCAGGCTCAAGTCTAAAGATCTCTCGATTCCTGATCTACAATTTTATAACATATAACCTTTTCTTTCAAATAACTTGGTGGCCTGGTTGGTAGATCTCTTTTGCTCAAAAAATCTTTGTTATACAACTTCTCTAATTTTTGAAGTCTAATCAGATCTGTTCTATAGTATTAGGTCACACTTGGTTAGATCAATTTGCTACTTCTTTAATCGAGACTTGCTAAGCCAGTTTCGGTTTTCTATAGGCTATCATAAGTAGGTCTTAATAATATTTGGTTTAGAAAGCCTTATCATAGATTTGCACTACTTATACTACAGTCGGAAATATCTCCAAATTTGGAAAATCAGATTTTGTGTAACAGATTTTATTCTAAATTGATTCTAGAATAATCTCTAGATTTTATTAGTTCACGGTCATACTTTTTGGCTAAAAGGTTTTGACCTTTCACGATACTAAATACAACTAATAATGATATACTTGAAAAATAGAGAGCCCGAAGTTCTATAATCAATAAAAAATCAATAAAAATTATTTTTTTTAGAAAAGTAAATGAAACTTTAAAAAAGGCAAGTTTCGCTAGCTTTTAAATTTATACTTACTAGTTGGTTGAATCTTTATGTTTTTTTACAGTATTCTGGTTTTTTTTTTTTAATAAAAGTGACCAAGACATATAAAAGAAGCAATTTTTAGATAAAGTAAAGAAATTACTTATACCCGGGTCTATGTTTTTTAGATTGTTAGCTTTATAAGCAGGAGCAGTACTTTCAAGTAAATGCTGAAATGGTGATTACGAAGACTTAATGAGTAGATTTTTTTTTTTTATTATACTTTTTTTTATTTTATTTATAAATATTTAAATTGACTTATATATTAAAAAAATAATTAACCTATATATTTAAAAAATTTAAGCTTCTGTAATTTAGAACCGTAATCCCAGATATATTAGTTAATTACTTAGTTTAACTAGACTAAAATCAAACCTACAACCATCAAAAGGTTTTTATCCAGAATGATTTGGTCAAAGAGTGGATGTGGATGTAGCTGCATGTAGCATTGACCATTTCAACCTAATCAACATTTTCGCTCTGATGTAAATACAAAATATATACCGATTATATAATTCTTTGTATCTGTTCATTATAAGATAAGTTCATCCACGATATGCTAATGCTTCTGCATTATTTAAAATAATTTCTAATAATTTATTT